GTAGCTAACTGGTACGCACATTCATTAGCAGTTGTAGTACTAGCTAGAAATGGCTGTATCATTTTGACAACAACCACAGCAGCTAGTTAGCGTGTTAAATTTGACCTAGTTTTAACCAGATATATGTAGGCTCAATAATAAATGACATTACATGAAATGATATCTTACAGTTTGCTACTTAAATGTCTGAGGCATGTTTATCGATTGCTTTTAGATCAACAACATATCCTTGTCCACTTATTAGCTGATATTTAAAAAAAGGTTTATTTCAAACTCTTTTATAACCTGTGTTTTCCTTGGGTAAAGCCTTTACGGTAAAGGTGACATAATTGCTTCACTTTTTTTGTTTTTGTACCGTTGCCAGACTGGTTTATCTAGCCTTCATTTTGTTTGTTTCTATCATACGACTTAAACGTACAATTCACAAGTAGAGAAGTTAGTAACAATGGGTTTCAATTTTGCTTCGTTTGTGGGAACATTTCAAGCAATTTTACAAATAAATCCGTCCCTAGTGAACAGTTTTAACATGCCTTTTTGTGAGGGTTTTAGGTTGCATATTTACAACAGTTGAGTTGCTGAATTACACCCAAATATGAGCTGTTTGTCTTTCACTTGTCTATCTTTGATCTAGGACCGCACCCAGTACAAGCCAAACACAAAATTAAAGATTAGAGAAAACAAGATGACCATGTTAACATGTGTTTTTTTAACCATAAACATTCTGTAATTCATCATATTTGTTTACTTCAAATTCCTTACATGACATTCTAATCCCCTACTTTAACTTTGCAGAATTTGTACTTTCTGGCAATAAATATTTTAAGCCACCCAACATATTTTTAATGATTTGATGTATGGTTATTGATTGGTCTCAAAACTGTCAATAGAAGACATCCTTAGTAACAAAGTATGCAGATAATGTGTCATAATGTTTTCCTTTCTAAATATATTAATGCAGTGTTTTGAAATACATTTTCATTTGGTTTTATCAAATAAAAGCAGCTTGAAAATTGAGTTTTGGGATTACCTCGGGTTGTAAATCTGGCACAGGTGTCATTCAGCTACAAGTTTCAAAACATTTCCTCCAGGAACCATCTTTTCACATGGTACAAATTAGAAAAGTTGTGGTTTCATGTTATGTATATAAAATGAATGTTAAGATATATTGAAGATGGTAAAAATATTGTGTGACCAAAAATGTGTGCTTGCATTTAGAACATTTTCAATTGGTTTAGAGTTAAAGTAACTGCGGTGTTCAGGGACATTTAAAGGGTATTGATACATTTTTTCAACAACTAACTTGTCCTTACATTTTTCTGACGTCATTCGTTATGTAATGTTTGGCCCATTTTTGAAGAAGAGCAAGTGTTTTTGAACAAGAAGCCGTTGATGCTCAGTTTGTTATTTTAGGTATTTTTGGGGGTTCTTTTGCTATTGGACAGTTATAAACTTTGCTTAAAATGCTGTAGTTGTTTTTTTCAAAAGCTGTCAAGTACTTTTTGTAGCGATGATATGGCGAATGGGTGAATTAGTAGACAGGCCATTACAAGTTTAAGCATGTATAATTGCTTGTGAAATTACTAGCCAGTGTTTTTCCCTCTAAAGCCACTGTGATGCTGTCGAGTGGGAACTCAGTATTCAGCTTTTTTGTCAGTGAGAGCTAAATGTTGTGTGTTCTGAATGAGTCTGTTGAAGGCAGCTTTGGCTCAGCACAGTGGAGCTCTGTGTGGGAGATCTGCTGTGAAGGATTCATTTGCTCAGTATTCAGAAAGTTTCTCCTTGACTCCATGGACTAAAGCAAGCTGCCAAGCAACACGGAGAAGGAAACTCCCACTGATGGTCTACCTACTATCTAAAGCAAAACAAGTCCATTAGCAATATGGAGCTATGTTTCATCTTTGTTGGAGCTTTAGAATGCAGCTTAGAATTGCAAGACACCAGGTTGTTTATGAGCATCTACACTGCTGGCTGGCATTAGTTCTCTTATTTGCTAATGTTAAGTGGTATGGAGCGCTCATATCAGCGTTTAAAAACAAAGGGAAATGTTCTCTTGTAATATCAGAGGACATAGCGAAGATCAGTTCAATGCAGCATTGCCGTGGTGTTTGTTTACCAGACTCAGGGGAGGAAAAAGCAGCAGAACATAAGAAGTCATTGTGGCAGGCCGAGGTTGTGCTTGATAGCACATTAAGTGGTCTGAGCAGAACGTCAGGAGGAAGAGAGGTGGCTGGGGAAGAGAAGCCGGGGATAAATTGATTTGTTCATAAATAAATCCTTTGCTATTCTCTGAATCTCCTTCTCATAATCCCGGGCTTCACTCATGCTGACGAGAGGTCCTGTCTCATCTGAGTTAATGGCTGCCAGTGTGGCATCAAATCACCTCATTATGGTGGGCGGATTTGAGTAGTTGCTTATCTCTGCAAAACCCAGATCCCCCGAGAGAATGTAGGGGGTAAAGCTGCTTGCATAGCCCAGTCCATGTTAGCATTGTCTTTGCTGCACAGTTCTGCAGCTGTAACCATATACTTTTTAGCAGTGAAGGAAGAAGTCCTGAATAATACAAAGGCAAGTTATTTGTTTGCAGTGCATCTCCCAGATAGATATAAAAAGTGGAAATCAAACCTCCCTATGTTGTATATATCATGTCTAGTTGCATTAGTTAGTTGGCCACACTTGTACTATTGCTAGTTGCTGCAGGCATCTAGTAAATATTGTACCACAAACTATTTTTGGACTTGTTCAGTTTTGTCTGAAGGTCAGTAGAAAACACACTCACAAACATGACCTTCGTCTCTCCTCTGCGGCTTAAGAGAGGAAGCCATCTGTCTCTGAGCAGAAACTGCTCTATAAACATAACCCTTTTGGTCAGGGTAGCAAGCCCATTACTCACTCTCCGTCCTCCCAGGGTATGGACTTAAAATGAAATGTTCAATTTGTGTAAGTAAAGCCCAGCTTCAAATTCAGACAACAAATAGCCTAAGGCATCCTTCACTGCTGCTACTCCTGGAATACATACATCATTTACCAGGAATTTGTTTCCTGAAATAACAATCCAAACTTCAAATTAAAGGCTTTTTAAAGTTTAAATAACTGGAAAATGGGATTGTTTATAGTGGAGTAATGGTTTTCTTAATTTATATGTTTTTATTAAACTATATAAACATGATTGTATAGTAAAACATATGCTGTTTGTGGAATGTGTGTTTTGCTTTTATTTGAGAGGTAAACACAATTAATGAAGCATATGTTGTGATTATTTTGGCCTGAGATTGCATGATAAACCCAAAAACTACTTAATGCAGTTAAATCCTCACCACTGGCTGGAATATTTAGGATTTGCTCAAAAACTGATTTAACTGATGATGATGAAAGAAAGCAAGTCTACATGATATTTCTAAATTAAGCTTTTACACGTTTTTCACTCAGGGTGGGAATCACTTTGACCAGTATGAAGAAGGGCATTTGGAGCTGGAGCAGGCGTCCCTGGACAAGCCCATCGAATCGGTAAGGCTGCATCCATCATCCCACACCATTGGACCAGCTGTGAGAGTGGATGATTGGTCCAGGGAGAAATAAAAGCCACACCTATAAACTCCATTCATTCTGCCCATGTAGATGCATCCAGTGTTTTCGTAAACACACTTGCCACCTAACCTGTAGAATCACCTGTCTCATGGTCATTAATACCCTTTAAGTCCCTCCCACTTCCCATGTCCTCTGCCTATTCCATTTCCTGTGTGATAGTTAAAAGATAATGTATATGCTAGATCTTCCTGTTTTATGTGCAGCTTACGGATAATCATTTGATTTATGTATCAGTCTCCCATTAGTCATTGTTAGTCATCTTAGCACAATGAGATAAGACGACTGAAAGCATGGGGTGGATAAAGCACTGTCATCAATGGCTGTTTTCTAATCATCCTAGCTGTTATTCATTTTTAATTGGTAATGACAAGACTTTATTATGGATATACCTACTTTAAACAAGGTTTCTGTACTGAGCCATGTTGTTTTTTTTATGTTTGAGAGAGTGATTTACCTTTCCAACAACTCTGATTTGATGATTCACGGATTTAAAATGTATTCAAAGGGTTAAGATCATAAATGCAATCCTCTTGAATCAAGGCACATGTTACCATTTTGCATTCAAAAACAGCCAGATTAAGAAGTGTTTACACCTGTATATCTGACTATTTTTCAGTGGCTCAAATGTTTCCGATTCCAAAAAGTTGGCAGTGCTTATTCCACTCCATTTAGCAAACAAAATAGCACACATAAGATGGTGTGAATGGCTACATCTGTGTTTGAATGAGTGTGTGTCCATGTAGCTCTAGAATTTGTGTGTAAGTGTTTGTGTCTATAGGACAGTTATCTTATTGTACACAACTTGGGGTGTTCGACATTTCTCTCCTGCAGCGAATTGGCCCCCTATTAGCTAAGCAGCAATGACCCGGTTTGTATTTGCACGCTCTGCTTTCTTACTCCTATCTTTAGGGTCCTTGTAACGCTTCTCTGACTGTCTTTCTCTCTCTCTCTGTTTCACTACTGTCGCACTCTACATCTATTCTCTCTCTACCTCTACTTCTCTCTCGCTCCCTCCCTACTACACAGTGATTCGTTGTACAGTACCCTCTGTCATTCTGTGCTGGCATGGTGCTTGTGCAACTGGGACTGCATTTTTTTCGCTGAAGAGGCACAAAGATAATAGCGCAGGCAGCTCTCTTTTTTTCTGTCTTTCCCACTCTCTCCACCCCCGCTTCTCCTCTCTGTCACTGAAGCTCTTTGGTGAGCAGGCCCAAACTCCTCTTACCTACACAGTGTCCCATGACCTCTCCTCAACCTTAGGGATGTGCTTTGAAAGTCAATCAGATATCACCAGCAATCTAACAGGCATGCTCACTTTCTTCAGTTTCTATAATCATCAAACAAAAGCATGACAAATAAAAGGGATTTAATTTTTTTCTAAATTAAAGCTATATTTAAATCTAGATTGCAACATAAGTAAACTAGATATTTGAAACATAATTAAACAAGTAAATTATGAGTATCATGATTTATTATAACAACAGGATTGCCTGAGAAAATACAAAAGTTGAGATTTCCCGTCAATTAAAAAAATAAACATTCAAGCAGCGGAATACATTCCATTGGGCTGATCACTGTGACGCTCCCGTTTGAAAGGGGAAAAAACACTTAATTTATTCACAATTTTGTAATTTATCACTATGATCAAATGTGTAGCCTATATTTGTGTTCTGGCATAGAATCTTTTTACATCCTGGTTGAGTTTCACTTATATTGTTTTCTAACAGGCACACACACCTCCCACTGTGTGTTGGTGGTGGAGGGGGAGAAATAAAAATAGAGAGAGGTGGCCTTCTCACCTGGCTTGAGTGACTCTTTAGCTCCTGCGCTATTATTTGTGGAGGGGCGTTGAGGGCAGCGCTGCAGCATCACACATGTGGAAAAGACATGGCCACAACTGTGGGGGGTGTCAACTGTCACATCGTCATTAATAGAAATACACACCTTTACATATTCTCTTTGGAAAGTGCATGCTCAAAGGAGATGGCGGCAGACTGTTTAACCACAAGCAAGTCACTATGAATATTTGTTAACCCTGAGGATTCTTTTAAAGGATCTGGTGATGACACAGTTTTGTTACATCAGTTATATTTCAATAATACAAATTACACAGTTTATAAGACTTTCAAATGCAACATGTACAAACAGTATAGTCCAAAATGTCTACCCCTAATCAGCCTTACACAGTGCGCCTAAATGGATAGCTAAAACATCACAGAAAAACACAGACTGACATAGAGTATGTGACAGTGTTGTTACACAGGCCTGATCTGAAATCTGTTAGTGAATGCTTTGGCCCAGCTTCTCGGAGCCCCTCCCCCGCCACTTATTGTGTGTGAACTATAGGCAGCTAGAGGTCTGTGGTATTTTATTGGGATCTTTTTTCTCTTTCTGTCTTTTCCCTTTGGTCTTTTGCTCTTTCTCTATAACATTGTTTTTGCATTGCATGTGTTAACTTGGTAGCATTCAGTACTATTTTATCTCAACACTGTGTCCTAATCACTACTACAGTTTTCCTCCAATACTCATCCCTCGTACGTCCTCTGCCCCCTTTCAGTCCCTCCAACCTCCTCTCCTTCCCCCTCTGACCCTGTCCAAGAGCGATATGCAGCGGGCAGCCACAGAAACCACATATACGCACCAGAAATCTAAGAATCACATGTACGCAGACCACAATGCGTTTTTCTCTTAGTAAAAATGTTGTTTCAACTTTTTGTATTCAAGATGTGTTCATTACTACTTGTCTCAACTTGTACTAGAGATGCTAAAATATATGGTGTATTAGATATGACAATTTGATAAGAAAATGAAAACCCTGCAATCCTTTTTTTATTTTAATCCTGCCCTACTCGTGACCTACATTATTTGCAACATGGCAAACTTTCTATTAAGCACCAGCGTTAATCCAGAGAGCATCAGTGATGCTGGGTTCAAGGTCATTGCTAATGCCCTCAAAATAATCTGTTTTAAAGTCAGCAATGGGGTAAGTGTGGAGAAAAAGAATAACCTAACCAAAAAACCCACTTCAAACTGAATGGGAAGGCCAGTTTTACAGTCTCTGTTTAAAGTTACTGGAGACCGCTACAAATGTGGGCTTCAGTGTCAACTTAATTTCCGGTTGATGCATTGGGCTTTCAGAATTATGAGGTAAGTATGTATTTTAAAATGATTCCATTTAAACCGGACGCTGGTTCTCTGTCATTTTTCCAATCACTTAATTCATGAAATCTGTTATCCCCTCACGGTCACTCTGACACTTCCACACTTCACCTCCATTTGCTGGGAAAAAGGAGCCTTCTGTTAAAGCAATTTGACTCTTGATGCACTGAGACAGTTGTTTCCATTTAGTCACACCTGCAAAAGGGGAGACCAACAAGGAATGCACAAGGCACCAAACACAAGGGAGCTGCAAAAGCTTATGAGGAGCAGCAGTCAGCAGGCCCTGTCCTCCACCAGCACTTCCAAAAACACATTCCTCAAGGACACGAGAGAGGAGGATGAGTAACTGCAGCAGCAGCCCTCCTTTTTCTGCAAGACAGAACCCTAAAGGGTCTGTGTTCACTCATCAGAATATACAAGCTCTGTTTTTGTGAGCAATAATCCCCCAAAATGATACAAAATATGTAGTTTGAGTTGATTTAGTTGAGTCACTTGCATAGATTAATATGCATGTCCAGTGTTACATCTTTCTCTGAACCAGAGCATTTTCTAATATCGAGACACGCTCCAGTACTGTAGACATATCAATGACTGCTTCGACTGAAGCAATAAGATTCCTAAATACTCTGAGGTCTCTAGGTGGGGTCCCCTGCATATCACTTCCCTTCCCCGTATCTTTTTCCATGCACTGTGCCGATGACGGCACAATGCACAGTTTTAAAAACACCTCTCCTTTTAGATCTCTTTTGTTTGGATAACATTTTCAATTTTTTCTTTCTCCTGTATTAACAGTCAGTGGATTTATTGACCTGCCCTTTCTGTTTGTATACAGTATTATGTTTGTTAAAGAGCAGAGAGAAAGATTTGCATATGTAAGAACTTAGAGAAGCTAGCAGAATTGCAGTTGAAAGCGTTTGGCTGGTTTCTTACGTTGTGTCACGTGTGACTGTTTTTTTGACAGCCCAGTATTTTAAAGCCAGGTTCGTATGGAAATGCCTTCACTCCACTTGCACTGCTGTTGGACTCGCCGTCGTTGCTTTCATCCGTCTGTCTATTCTTTTGGTGCACACATCTGTTGTTCAGACACGCAGTGAGCGCCTCATCTCCGCCCTCTTAGTTTGCTGAGCCCATTTTGAACTAATCTTTTTATTAGTGTCAGCAGTTGCGACTGATGCCTTATCCAACTTGCCCTTCTTGTTTTTAATAATATTTAGTTTAGAATCTTACAGAGATAGAAAAAAAATAAGCTTTCTATGAGAAAACACATTTAATTTAAGGTAGGGCTTATGTTCTCTGAGCTTTCAGAACATTTCATTATAAGACCCGTGGTCAGAATTCTCTGGCCTTGGAGATAAAAAATAAACAAATCAGCAAACAGGGATTGTGTAAACACGAGACAGGAGCAGCTAGTATAGGGTGCATCTCATTTTCCTTCTTGCTGAAACCTCATAGATCAGCTTATTCCCCAAATCAATATAGATAATCATGTGTAGAGTGGTGCACCATAATACTGCAGTAAGAGACAGAAGCATACCCAATGTCGGTGGGAGGGGAGGCATCCACTGCAGCACATTCTGCTGTGTTTCCTACATAATGAAGTCAGGGGACATGTTGTCCACCATGCAGGAGGCAACAAACTATTAGCCATGCAGCCTATCTTTGGTGGTGACATGCCAAGGAAGTGCCAGGCAATGTACAGTGAAAGCATGTCAAATGTAGGATTTAATGCCCCAGTTATAATTTAAAACAAGCAGGTGTCCTCAGTTCCCTTCCCACCATGTGAGACCCAGCACAGATTCCCTCCTATCTCACCCCGCAGCAGAAAGGGATCTGAATGTGTCACAGAGTAAAACACAGCTCATAGATCCATGAAATAGTGTGGGGGGGGGGGGGGGGAATACCAAACCCAACAGAAACAGGAAGTGAGGCAGTTAAGCTTCTCTCTTGGGAGGAAAACATCAGCCAGTTGCCTTGGATAGATTTGTTACAAGTATCTGGGATTTCAAAGTTCTAAAACACTGACCTATCGTTTTTTCTCTCTCAGAAATAATAAATAGGGCAAAAGAAGGCATCAGTTTGCTCCTAAACGCCAACAGGGTTTTAACATGATTAGGCCAAACGTAACATAAATGAGACCCTTTGGGCGGAGATGCAGTGTGTGCTGTGTGTGTGTGACTCCCACTCACATGCACTAACCCATTCAAGCTCAGCTCACCTCCAACACCCCAGAAACTCACCTCCACCATGGCTCAGCCTGCTCTGTTCTGCCCCCCCCCCCTGTCCCCACCTCCTCTTTGTCAAGAGAACTAATTGAGCCCTGTTGAGCCATCTCCTTCCTCTCTGTGCCTGATCCACCTGAAACTAACATAGTTGGAGTTTTGTTACCCGCCCTCCACCCCAGCCCGCTCCACCCCTCTGTATGTGTACCATTCACGCTACTAACACCGACGATACTTTTTGTTAAAATAATTTAACAAAAAGGTGCATGCTGTTTTGTTCCAACCCCTTCACTTTCTGTTTGTGAAAGTTGATGTCAATCTCTTTGTGATTATAAATATCCTTTATGTTTGGTTTGTATGTTTTTTTGGTAGAATGCAGCACTCTGGTGAATGTTAGCAAAGCTTGGAATAGTTATAATCACAACAGAAAACACTGCTTATTAAGAAATCTCATTGTTTATTTGTGCTTGAGGATGTACTGTAGTGGTGGGATGATCTTGCATTTCTCTTAATGTTTTTGTTTTTCTTGCTGACCCATACTAGTGATATAACGCTCTCAGACATGTGCGATTGCCCCCCTTAGTATACTAGGAATTTCTGTTGTGTGTGTTCTCGCACTTCTCTCTTGCCTCTTTGATTCAATATAATGGGTCTGATCTTGCCCACATGTACATTGTCTGTATACTTTCCTAAAGTATTCAAATAAAACCCCCAAATTCATATTTAGTTATTAATATTTACTTAATATAATTGCATTGTTTATGACCAAATGATGAGTCTCTTTTGTGCTCTAGCCAGGCGCCACCCCTCTTATAAAACAGACTTTTCCAGAAAGAGATAATGCTTCTGACAAACTCCTGTTGTGTGCTCAGTCTTAAAATGAAAACACTTGACAAAGTACAGACCAGATTTTCTCGACATTGCCTGCACTTCATTTGAAAAAATGGTTTAAGAGAGGATTTAAATAAGAGGCAAGCTAACAGCACACATTTGTGTCTAATAACGGTTTAGAATCATAATTGTGCATATGGTTTGGATCAGACCATTGATAAAAGACGAAAAAATACTGGAGGTGTCCAAATCATTCACAACAGCTATTTCTAGTGAATCCAACGGGGCTACGTGCACACAATGTCTCTCTGTCCCTCTCTTCACCTGCACACCCACATATCCCCTCACACGTGCATATCCTGTCCACCCTGGGCCTTGTAATGGTAATCCAAGGCCCATTAGCCCCACTTCTGTCTCTTCCTCTTGCTATAGTTTTTGTGACAGCTGCATATGTTTTCATGGTGCTCTCCTTGTCATGGTTACGGAATCACAGCAAGCTTGGAGTTTCTGACCTTTGTTTTGTTAATGCAAGATTTCCATACCTGTTCTGTGTCACTTTTCTTTGTGTACTAAGATCTTGCTCTGTAGTGGTTCATATATGTATGCGTGTGTGATACATATATTGCCTCCCTCCTTCCTACCACTCCTCTTAACTTCTCAGTTAGTGGATGTGACTCAATGTTATCTTTATCATCCAAAGTAAAAGATAAAGAAATGACTTTGCCTTACAAAACAGCACTCTGTAGGAGGGTGTCCTGTAGTTTACAAGCTACACATAGCCTCATGTAGTGTTCATAGTGGACAAGCTACCCTTCCTCTCAGTCTCCAACCATCTACCCCCCCACCCTAACCGTCCTTACCACTCCTTGTGCTGGAAGACACTGATAATACACGCTGTAGGTGATGTGGATGACAATAATGATAATGGTGATGGTGGTGGTTGTGCTGATGATGATGGTGTGATCTGAGTGTCTTTTTGTTTTTGTTTGTTTGTTTTTGATGACAACCCAACAGGGAAAAGCTCCTCTTATTATTGGAATATTTTTGGTTTTTTTCTCCTCTGTTCTCTCTGCTAGGATAACATTGGGCACCGGCTGCTTCAGAAACATGGCTGGAAGTCGGGGCAAGGTCTTGGCAAAAGCATGCAGGGTAAGGACAAACTCTTCTGAACATCTGTTTGCAATGTATGCTGGTGGTACTGAGCCACCAACACTTTGTCATTTTCTTCGCCCTCACATTTCTAGGTTTTGTTGTATCAGCAAATGTTTCTTTCCCGTTTCTTTCTCTGGTCTTTTCCTTTGTGTCTGTTGCTAGCTAAAATCAATTTGTATTCAAACAAACCTCATTCCAGTTCCAGTCGCTCTCTCGCTGCTGTTCCCTGGAATGGAAGAGGGAGGGGAATGTTTCAGAGGCCTTGTAAAGGAGTTACACCAAGGGCAGGGACCATAGTGGGTTGAAGGATAGGAGTGGAGCGTTTATTTGTCTTTCAATAATGCAATACAGATTAAAGCGAGCTTTTGGTCCTCCTTCAAAATCACAGTATAATTGAAGACAGCCTTGTTCACATTCACTTGTTTTAGCCAACTAACTTTGAGAAAAAGTGGTTATGGATTTATGTATTGCAGATGTGCTAGCACACAAGTCTTGTGTCATCTCCAGATCTTACCCCTGGTTAAAAACATACATCCTCTTCTCAACTTACATTGCCGGAACAAATGGTAAAGAAGCTAAATGTACCTCTCCCGAAACATTGGGGCAGGGATGCAGCTGCATGATAACGAAGAGCACATGGTTGACTTGGAAACACTAAAATGGTAAACAGGGTAGCCAGAACTCTAGCCAACAGAGCTGTCAACTTGCAGGAATGCATAGCACACCATTTTTCAAGGGCTTTTTCTGGCCTAGTTGTAAACGCAATTTAAGAACAGGCTGCTGTGACAATGCCATTGGACCTAGTCCAGAACCCATGTACATTTCGAAAAAGGAAAAACCTCTGACTGCCTTCCACCATGTTAACATTGACGCAAAACAGACCCACGTTGCATGCTCCGCCTGCTTGGGGAGACTGTTGTTAACTTTGGTTGATGCTGGACAGTCTGTTTTAATGATTTAAAAAAAGATAGTGATACCAATCATAATCAATTTTTGCATGGCTTATTATGAACCAGATAACCGTTTCAACCCTTCTCTATAGTTAGTATATTATTTACTTAAACTGATTAACATCATGTGTACACCATCCGTTTCATTTTTTAAGATCGAGAATTGCGGTCTCTTCTGAGGGAAGTAAAAGCGGTGCTGTAAAAATGCTCTGTAAGCTCTTCCCATTGAATGAACTCGTGTAGAAAGCTTTCAACAAGAAAGCTGCATTAGAGAGGTTTACTTTCAGGAGACATCTGTAATTGGATGTCCCAGTTGATATTGACTTGCTGCAAGAGGGAGCAGGCTGAACAGAGCTGAGTGTGTGGGTTGGTCTTGGCTAACGTCAGCACATCATTAGTTCGACCCTGCTCTGCTCGGCTCATTGGCTCAGAGGCAGTGGTGCAGAGCCCTGGCATGTTTCCACCGAGCCTTCCTGTCTCATCAGCCTCTTTCTCTCCTCATCACTTTCTTTATTCTCTCTTTTAGTTCGAACTTCCTAACTCCGTCTTCAGAGCCGCACCCTTCCATGCACTTTCTCCAAAGAGGATGACGTATCGCATTGGCCATGAGTGATGACATCACTGGCAAGCGAATGGGTCCTGGCAGTTAGCTAAGAACCAAGCTGGGTTTTCTGCATCATTTCTGGCATTTAGTTTTGTCTACCTCCTCAATCGTGTTCTTTTCTCTCCTGTCAACCCACACCATTTTAACATCAGATCTTTTATTTCTACTCTCATGCAGTCATTTTCTTCTACCTATTTTTGTCATTAGTTGCTCATTTGCTTAAGAGCATTTATTTCCCTTTAAACCCAGCAGTAACATGCTCAATATCAGAATTATAATGAGAAACACAACGTCTCTAGGCACAAGCTACGTAAGCAAGTTGCTTGACTTCACAATGCAAAAGACAGAAGGTATCTGCGTTCAGAATTGTGCTGCTTAATTTAATTTGTATTCAGCATAATCAGATTATGAAAAGTCCATGCCTTCCTCGTGTTTGTGGTTCAGGTGATGAGATTTTCAGTTGTCTCTGGTTTTGTAATACAACAGACACAGAAGACTTGTGACTTTATCTTGATGAAAATATGCATTCATTTGTATCAGGTGTTTAGAAAACACTGGTTTACCCTGCCTGTAGATGTCCTTACTTTTCCAGATACCGGCTGTGGTGCTCAACTTTGTTGTAAATGAGAAGAAAAGGAGGAATGGCTCCCTCTCTAGAGTCACTCTTGTATTTATTTAGATCTGCTCTCCACTGTGTCGGATTGAATTGTCATGATATATTGCAATCTGACATTTAGATATTACATTTGTATTGTGTTTATTGGTGAGCCTTCAGAGACATGCAGAGCTGATGACTGGCTGTTGAGCTGCGTTGAGGCCACCCTGGCACCTCTTGTTCATGCACATACAGTGGGGAAAAAAAGTATTTAGTCAGCCACCAATTGTGCAAGTTCTCCCACTTCAAAAGATGAGAGAGGCCTGTCATTTTCATCCTAGGTATACCTCAACTATGAGAGGCAAAATGAGAAAAAA